GTTCAACACGCACGAGCAAGAGGTTTTTCCGCAGCGTTTAATAGCGTAGGAAATTTCTTGGATGTAAACAAACGCTGAATTTCGCTCCAGTCCGCCCCTATTTGCCCCCAGTTCACTGATCTGAACTAAATTCTTTTCTAGTGAACTGCATTTTGCGCCTCAATTAAATTGAATGAACAAAGTAAACAACCTCAAATATGCGTTAAATCTGCCACTCACATTTTGATCTTCAAATTTCATCAGCTATACAATCTACTGTATTTGTAGATGTTTGTTGGAGGTCTTTAGGGTGTCCTTGTAACGGCGCTTTCATTTGCCTTGTCTGCAACCACTCATTTGCTACGTTGCCGTGGAACAGTCGCTTGGGCTGGCAATCGTAATCCGTTTCCATGACGTGGCCGCTTTATCGCAGTTTTATCTGCCTGATCGTGAAGTAGATACTGAGGACGTCGGTTCTTCCCAGGATCTTTGTATCTGGCATGCTTTACTGCCCCGCCATCATCAATATTCTTCGGCGGCACTTGAACTGAAAATGATTAGGCTTTCCCACTGGAATTTCGCATAGCGTCCACGTATCTGTCCTATATAGGGGCTTTGTTAAGAAAACAACCTTGTACATTTTTGATTTTGCGCTGAGTAAGATGCAGCGGCGGTTCCAATCCGAGTGCTCTAGCTGGTCAAAAATCTGGCTGGTTTTTAAGATCCGACTTGCGGTCTTGTCGTTCATGCTTATCTGCGACTGTCTACAATTAAGGGTTTGAGATAGAATCCAAGGCGTTTGGCTAATAAGATTCTTGCCCCAGCAATCGCTTCTTTCCCATCTTGACGTTCTTCTAAATTGTTCTCCTAAGGTACACGAATTTGTTGAATAGTGTTGGGTCAGCCTGTGGTACCGGTTGACCTATGATCACTGTCTTCTCATTGACAGTGGTCCAGCCCAACATGTCCGCGCTCCGTTGTTTTTTCTCTACTTCTGTAGTCAGCAAACAGACATCCTCAAACAATTTGTCATATACACTAGCTTTGTAGGCTTGTGTGGAAGCCTGTGTGCGTTGGACGTTGTAATCGACGTCCACCCTCGGCCGCGTTTCACTGTCGACTTCCATAAAGATAACAGACGAAAAGATACTGAAGGTGATAATGATTATGTAGCCCTATTTTATCCTATTTGTCACTGTGAACGCCTCAGAAAGTCCCCCCTTGTCTGGCACCTGCGCCATCATCTCGTCATGAAGTTGAAGATGGTAATGCAAAATTTTAATGGATCCATAAAATTTCATGAGTGCTCATCAG